ATCCTATTCATTAGCCATGTTATAGTCAGTTTTCAAAGGTAGAGGGTCTCAAAGTAATTTATCTTCTTCTGATAATATCTGCAAGGAGCAGTTTTATGAACAGAAATTCTTTATAAAAGTAATTTGCCCTTATTTGTTGGAGCTGAAGTCTCCAATGTCAGTTGCTGAGCAAGTCAGTAAGCAAAGGCCTCAGCATATGGGAGGCTGCTGCATCGATCCAGGTCAAGGAGGTATGCAGAATTATCTTCAAAATGCGTCAGAGGTAAGGTGTCATCTTCGTTCACATGGCAGTCTGGTTCAGCTTTTAAGAATGGGCGTTGATTGTCAGGGAAGGCCATGGAAAAAAGGGCATCAGGATCACAAACAAACTTGTAGACATACCGCTCTCCAGCCACCTAGAAAGAAAGGCAAGTTTCCGTTAGAATAATACAGAGAAAGAATGGCTGAGATGCAAAGTAACCAGCCTTGCTTAACCTCCTCCCCACAAATAAATGTAAGCTGCTTGTTTGGAAAGATACCAAGGAACAGCATGCTGGCTGAATTCTTTCAGTCAGGCAGACAGAATAAGAGGGAGGCTAATCCTAAAAAAAAAAAGCCATCTTCATGCCAAAAACTATTTCTATTTCTATGTAACCACACTGTTCTCATGTAGTTTGGATAAAAGACTCCCTTACCTTTTGCATGATGCCTTTTTCATAGTAATAACGAAGAGAGCGGCTGAGCTTGTCATAGTTCATAGCTGGTCGATTCTTCTGAATCCCCCACCGACGAGCTACCTAAAAAGATGAAAAATGCAACTATGAAGCTGTTCAGCGTTTGCCAGTTCTGAGGACATCACTGAAATGGGTTAGACATAAGGATGTGTATCAAATGAAAAATGTATTTTGTTTAGAACCTGAAATGAACATGTTGTATCTTGAAAGTTCTGCTGAACCAAGTTCTGCAGGCTGTAGTTCAACAGAACCCAACCCAGAACATTTTGGTGGTCTGGCTTTCAGCCAAGACAAAAACTGGAAGTATTTGTTGGAAAATATGCAAAGCTGTCTTGCCCCCCCCCCCAACCTACACTTCTGTATGACTTCTTGGCCAGCCTGTCTTCTGATCCTCTCAATGCACATCCCTAATTGGATCTTTAATACCACATTTTAGGCAGAAACAAATAGGACTGCCAATGGTACTAGCATAATGGATTCCAAATTATTTTGAGAGAAGACAACAGTTCTGTTTGTAGAAAATATCTGGCACAAGAGTGATCACCTCCCACCCCCAGTCATGGACTGAGAAAGTCATACAGGACATGGGATTTTATAGGCACTTCACTCAAACCTGGACTATATCTCTCATAGCAAAGAAATCAGTCTTTACTGTACAACCTGTCACAAGTGCCCATACTATAGTCTTCAGCTCATTTTTTTCCCAAGTTATACACTTAATTCACCGGCCCCATCCTAAACATATATTTCCCAACATGATGGCGGGGAGGAAGGTTTGGCTTTCATACCATTCAATATTGGCTCCTTTTGGGGAGGTATCAACCCACTCATTAGGTAACCCGTCCTGTACCCTTTTATATCATTTGTTTTACCAACTATTATTCATACAAGATTAGAATTGCTAAACAGTGCACCTTTACAACAAAGCACAAAGCGGTAAAGACCTACATATATTGCTAAAGTAAACTCAGCTTATTTCAGAGATGTAAAGTACCACACCCATTCCCTTGAAACTTGCTTGCGGCTTCTGAAAAGTCATTGCGAACCCTCCCAACTTCTTTGGCCAAGTCATAGAATATTGACCAAGAAAACCATTAACATGACATCCTTATTGACTGCAACTGAAACCACAGCTAGTAAGACATGACTGGGAAACTTAATAGAAGAACAAGGTGCTCCTAATGGGTTGCAACAACACTGATTAAATTCTAATACAACTGTGCAGCAGTAATATAGAGGGGATTACTCATTTCAGGTCTTTGGGAGCAGGATCTGATGACATAAGCCTGTTGCCAACCAACCTGCTGTTTCCCAGGGGATTTATGGAATGGACAATCAGCCAGGCACTCAGAGAAGATTAATAGGATTTCCAAGCACTAAGTGCACCGAGGCAGCCTACATTCACCTGAGGCATTGCAAAAGCCTAGAACAGCAATCTCAACCAAATACATAGAGTGTTTCCAGTGGCCTTAACAGCTCTATAGATAACTATGTTCATGTGATGTGCTGGTCAGATTATCTTTCTCCATCAGAGCAAAGATAAAGTGATGAAGGGAAATGCAAGTGAATTAAACACATATATCATTACCAGAGAAAGCAGAATTTACTCATTGAGTGTCCTACATCATTGCAGTTCTTGACATAGCAATTCATCTATCTCCCACAATACACTTCCTTATCTATTGAAACATTTGAATTAAAGTCACAAGAAAAAGGACATTAGAAATGAGAGCTGGTTTGTATTTCACACTTCTCTTTCTCTGCCCCCATCCCAAACTTTGCTATTGCTGATTCATACCCTGAGGGGCCAGCTACAGCTAGTAAATTCACTAGCACTGCAGTGTCAAAGGAGAGGTAGGATAGATACACAGAAACATATACCTGCTACTTTTAAACTTAGAGGTTTAAACTAAACTCTAAAGTTTCCAGGGTTGAGGTAGGCTTGGCTAAATTTTGCATGTTTAGACAAAGGCTCATTGCATATGCAGACCCCAGCAGAAAAAGAGCCATGCCCACACTGTTAGCACACAGATCCAAGCATCCCTGTAGTCATTCTGCCATAATCATGTTCCAGCACCCAGGCTCTGAGGACAACTCAAACACTGTCCACTCTTTTATAGTTAATTTTATTAAAAAATACAATTACAACAATAACAACAAATACAAACTAAAAAAACCTAAAAGAATAAAAAAAAATAGAAGATGCAGCAAAGAAAATAGAAAAGAAAGAAAAAAATAAGAATATAGTAAAGAAAAAGAAAAGAACTTCTATTTTTTTTTTATTCTTTTAGGTTTTTTTAGTTTGTATTTGGTGTTATTGTTGTAATTGTATTTTTTAATAAAATTAACTATAAAAGAGTGGACAGTGTTTGAGGAAAAGAAATATATAAAGAAATGACTTCCCCCTTCATCACAAGTATAAACAATTTTAGTAACTTATTACATTCTCTTAAAATACAACAAATAATCTCTTCTTCCCATATCCCATCTCTTATCTATAAACAAATCCTTAAAGCCTCATCATTTCAGTCCTGTTGTCAGCAAAAATCCATTAAGGGTTGCCAGAGATAACAACATATCTATTTTAATCTTGATCAAATAAACCAACTTTATATTCCTTCCTTTTACATATCTTCAAAGCTTTAACAAGCCTCTTTTGTAAATCCAATGTAGGAAAATTGTCCAGGTCACTTTCCTGGTTTGTTATTTGTATAACCCTTTTAATTATTAAGACATCTGCTGATTTCTTTTGTATGTCCAGTGTAACATCTTTTCCCATGTCATTCTTGTAGCCTGTCATTTTTAAATCCACTTTCAAATCATTCTCAGTCTTACTATTTTTTTTAACTAATTTAAAACAAAAGCATTTTCCCACGGGAAGGATTTTTTATAATTCATTCCAAAATCTTATTGCAAATTTATCTAGACCCTTAGTCCATTGGTTTCTAAAATCTAAGTTTTAATCACCTTTTTGCTGTTTATTAAAAAAAAAAAAATTAAGTTCTTAAACTTGTATTTAAAACTTGAAGGAAACTCACCCGGTGCTATAAAACCTGTCAATCCAAAGGTTCCTAGTAGCTGAAAAGCAGTTAACAAACAATTTCCAAAAGTGATTAGAAACGGAAGTGTGTGAACTTAGTGTTCTTTCAAAGATGCTGACCGCAATTTGAGCAAGATGGCTATTCCTTATCTCCCAGAGCTCTCCTCATGAGAAGCAACTGCCTGGAGCACTGATAGGCGATCTCAAGTCCTCTCCTTGTCTGGAGAGGAATTATTGAACACTGGTCTACTTGCCAGCTCTTCATTCCACTGCAGTTGTCAGCTCTGCTTTTCATGGAGCTGTCTTCAGTCCACCATTTCTTCCCCAGAACAAGCGACAACTCAAACACTATCCATGTGGTGCTACTGTGCTGTGTAGGATGGATGATCACTGACTCCATCAAAGCCCTTCTCTTTCGGAAATTCCATTGGGTTATCATTGGGTGTCTGGAAGCAAAAAATCTTCTGTGCTTCTCGAAGAGACTGCTTATATTTGTTTTCAGCAGAACCAGAAGAAGAGAGATGTCAAATGTAAAATCTTTGGCCTTGTACAGAGGGAACATGGTCCTGAAATGGAGTTGCTCCTATCCATTGGTGGCTCCTTGGCCTTCTCACCAAAGCAAACTGCCAGGGTGCATATAGGTTCATGAATTAAGTGTTTTAAGATCTAAGGGGTCCTTTTTGTAATATAGAAAGAGGGAGGGAAACAAGAGACTGTCAAAAGACCTTTGAAGGGAAGGGGCTGCCAAATAGTTTGGAAAAAAAAAGAGGGAATCTATTATTGTCACATGGAGTGTACTGTATTTTGAGGATCATTAGCCAGCATGCCTGTGCAGCTGGTTTCAATTATTAGTCTGGCTCAACAGCTTTCTCCTCAGCATTATTTGGCACAAGCTAACACTCTACCAAATCCTTTTCAGTAATGTAAAGGATTTATTTACAAAACCCAGCGTTATTACAGGGTGACAATGGGGCAAAACATGCAGCAACAGTGAAAACTGTATTGCAGCTTAATTAGAAAATAAAAAGAGAGAGGAAGGGGAGAGGAAAAGGGTAAACCAATAGAAATGGAACTACAACTCCCCCCACCCATAAAGGCTAGAAAGACAGTGTCTGCAGTAACAAAAATAGGCACAATTGTATGTCGTAAAATAATTTATAATCTATGAGAATATATTAATGAACAGTTCAAAAAATAGTACACTGAAAATAAAACTTCAAAAATAAATATATTGCAATGTTTTTCTAGAATCATCAACATCTAAAATTTAGTATGTACACAAATTTTTATTAGTTTTTTAGTCTACCGCAACATAAATATACGTTGGTGTTCTGCATCAAATGGAAAATGACTTTAATTTGCTGGGGATTTTTGCTATTCATGAGAAACAGAACTTGTCAGCAGGAACCCCGCCCCCCCTGCTATTGGCTAATCCCTGGCAATATTCCATAGGTACTGGATATTTTGTAAAGGAAATTCAGATTCAGTTATTGAAACTAGCAAAAACAAATTAAGAGTATCCCTAACAACAGCACTAATATAATCTTAGTTTGCAATTAGTGCAAATATGCAGAATTCTGCAGAGGGCAAACATCCATTGCAATCTAAATAGCTGGCAGCAATTATTTTTGATCACTGTTATTGATTAACAAGTAGACAGTAATTTTCTCTTTTTCCACTGATACATTTCCTGTGAAAAAAGTAATATCTAAAATGGATGAATTGACTAGCATTCAATCAACATACATTCAGAACATTAAGCAAGTATTTCATTTTTACTGATGGGACCTGAGCAATTTTAAACCCATAAAAGATGGCAAATCTTAGTATTTCTCTAGTTATGTCTTGCAATATATTATTAAAAATGTATAGGAATTTTTTTAACTCAATGTTTTCTATCTTGACATGTTCATTGTAAGTTATAAAATAACTATTCTTCTTTATGAGATCTTATTGTGACAACATAACATATTGTGACAATAGAATATAACTGTTATTCATACTACTTTTATTAAGTTTACTGGCATTTATTTTTAAGGATAAATTGATTGCACCTCTGGTTATGAGAAAAGAAGAACATGCTTTGTACCTGCTAACTGGCTGTTTTGGAAATTCAACAAACTCTGCCTGAGGCTGGCAGAGGAGGAGGGGCTTGGGCTGAGAAAAAACAAAAAATGGACTTATGGTAGGCCCTTACATATTGTCCTCTTAAAAAAAACTCACACAGATTTCAATTGCTTTTAAACAAAGCTTCCTCCAAGAGTGAATTAGAAACAAACAGCAAAAAAAAAAAAAAAAAAAAAATTAAGATTACAGTTGGAAAAGTAAAAACTAATGCAAACTACAAAAAACATAAAAATAAAAATAGTGCAGAAAAAAAAAAAGAAGTAAAAAGAAAAATAGAAAAAAAAAAGAATAAAGTAGTAACTTCCCCCTTTATCATGACAAGTACAATTTTAGTAAATTATCACCATCTCTTAAGATGCAACAAATGCATTATTCTTCCCATAACTCATCTCTTAACTATTAACAAAATCTGAAAGCCTCATCATCCTAGTCAGCAAAAGTCCATTAAGGGCTACCAGAAATAACTACATAACTATTTTAACCTTG